TTCTATAGGGTGTATCGGTATGTATAGGACCCATAGTGGGGATTTATGGTTGTTCTATACACCCTTGATTTATTTGCTATTGGTTTCAATGGGGAAAATACACATAAATATAGAAATTAGTATTTTCCCCATAGGACCCCATAGGTTTTAATAAAATTTTGTCAAATGTTTTATGGTTGTTCTATAGGGATATCCCTATATATCCTTCATTGAATTATTTGCTATCGGTCTCTATAGGGAAAATGTAAAAATTATGGTGTGCCTATAGGTAATTTCCTATAAATTTTCTATCGGGCCGTATCTGGAAAAAAACATGAACAAATGCACATATTGAATCCGGTAGCGCCCGATAGATTATTTTGTATAGGTCTCTATGGGGTATTTTAAGCAGGGTGCGCACCTATATGATGTGCCCTTTTGCTATGCGCAGTGTGCAAAGTTGAGCGTTGCTTTCAAAATCACTTTTTTGTTTTTTTTTATTATAGCCCAATTTTAAAAGTAATCGATCCCAAACCTTAAGGTAATCAAACATAACCGAATGGACGATTTTTTGAGGTACTAGACTTTTTTCAAAAGTTACTGCTTTTTAATGTACAGATGGTTCTTTTTTCAAAAAACCCATTTTTTATTTCCCAAACGGCTTTAATGAGCCAGTTTGTTGTACCCTAGATTTTTAGGTAATCCTCGTAACGAATCCGTAGTTTTTGTTTAATTATTTTCATTGCAAGTGCCCCACAAAAATTAAAGTTTTAAAAAGGTTTGGGATTGATTACTTTAAAAATTAGGCTAATAAAAAAAACAAAAAAGCAACGCTTAACTTTGCAAACTGCGCATAGCAAAAGGGCACATCATATAGGTGCGCAATGGGGTTTAACGTGTGCCTTATTTAGTACATAATCAAAAGTATTAGAAGTCAAATTCTGAAAAAATGCACGGTTAGCGAGTTATGACCCAAAAAGCAAAAAAACTCCCCTTTCGGGGGATGAAATTAGGGGACGCGGAAGGAAATTTTTGGGGAATATTCTTGATTCATTATCAGCACTCTACATAAAAAAAAATAAAACCCGACTACCATCGAGTTTTCATCGAGTTCAATCTTTGTTTCCTGGACTAAAATCCATTTTAACTTATTGGCATACCTAGGCATTGTCCAAAAATGTATATAAATATTTATAAACTATTAAAAGGGAATGTTGCTCCTGTTGGGTTGTCTCTGTTTCGGTTTTTCCTTAAAATACTGTGCCAAGTCAAAAGAGTTTACCAAAATTAGTAAAAATCGGTACCTATAGTATACTATACTTTTAAAATGTAAAAATGGATTTATCGGTTTTTGCATGTTTGCTCCACAAGTATTATGGCAATATAGCTTACGTCAGGGTCGGCTTAAGGGTAATGTCGCCCTGTTCAGAAATTTTCTAACACCCACAATTTTCCGTAAATATTTGAAATTTCACGTACCCAGGCAGCCTAGTATTAAACTTAATTTTAGCCAGCATACAACTCTTGCTATATCTCAATATTTGACCATTTGTAGGGTTATGATAAAAGCCGTATTGTGTAAATTAATATACCCTTAACTTAAAAACAAACAATTAATAGGCACTTGAAATTTCTGATGGTTGTTGAAATAACCAAGTTACCTACCCATTTCCGTCGTAAATTACTACTCGTAATCTATACCACTAGCGATCTATGCAATTTATTTAGAACAAAAATTGGTTTTGGTCGTATTCTACGATCAAAAAATTGTAAAAATCGGTGTGATGTAAAAATATTAAATTGCAGTCCGACTGACCTAGACGCCAATTGTTTATACACAGCTCCACCCAGTGGAACCGTTATTTTTAACAGAATTAGAAAAAAGTCGTCTTCTCTTTTATATATCAAAGAAAATATTTTCTCTAAAATAAACATTAGGAATACTATAAGGCTACACAATACCTACTAAAAATCCTATTAAAATTTTGAGAAACAATAAGTTATGACCATATAAAATGAGGTGGTAGTAGCATAAACCCATAACTCACATGATTTTTGACAAAATAAAAGTAGGTAGGTATACCACAAAAATACATGATACAGAATACAGGATGAGACTCAGTATGTTGTAAAAAATAAAATTAGGAAATGTTTTAAAAGGATACATACCCAAGCTAATTTTGTTGTTATTCTTTAAGATTTACTTAATTAAAATAAACAAAATTTGAGCTTTTATCGAATTAATTAAAAGAAGAATTTATTGAAATTATTACATTGGCAAAATTTAATCGCAAATAAAAAAAAACATTTTCAAATAAAAAAATGTTTCTTGCCATTATAAAGTATGAAAGCGTTTGAAATCTTTAGAAGTAACACCAGCTTTTAGAGTAATTAGAAAATGTGTGCGATTTACCGTGTCAAGAATTAAATGTGAAGTTATGCAAAGTATGGCAGTTGGATAATAAAAATAAAAGAACAATATTAAATCGAAATACTAAGTTAAATATTTATATTTCGCGTGTAACATAAATTAAACAATATTTAACAGTATTTAAACCGTATATCTATTGAATGACGCACAATCCCAATCATGATTATAATAATTATATATCATATCATATAATAATTATTATCATGACCAATAACGGTTTTACCATGTATTCTCCTAAGAATATATAATATATTTATAAACAAACTATATTTTTCTAAAAATTTAGAAAAAAACAAAGATATTTAAAAAAAATTGTCCAATGCCTTAACTTTTTCTATGAGCCTATGTAAGTCTATCGCAACAAATATAAATCTGTCACTCTTCATTAGGTATTAATCATGATGCAATTGAAAGATTGGCTCAGCAGTAGAGCGAATACGCGCCACCGAATAACTAGTCATGTAATAAACATTTTTTTTACGATGGACCAAACAAAGTTAAATTAAATTAAGCCGTGGGACACCAAAATTGTTTTTCATTCTGAAGCAATCATGCGAGAATCCCATTATTAATTTATTTAGTGCAGGTATTTGTAATTGAACAAAAGTGGTTAATTTTGGCCATAGTTGCTTTATAAATATTTTTTCACATGAATTGCATGCAGCGCAAAAATTTAAATTATAAACTTCTACTTGTGCCTGCGATTATTTAAAATTTTGTATGTAATCGTTGATCACGACTATATGTACATATATCCTTCAGTAATATTATTAATATTTTATAGACAATTTAACATTGAGTAATTCGACGCATCTTGTTTAAGTTTGACCAAATATTCGGAGCAAATAACGGTTTATAGTTTCTTATAAATGCCACCATCCGTTGTTGCTGTGAACGATTCGTTTCAGTTGTTATTGTGTTTATTGTGTAAAATTGCGTTGTTTGCAAAATAAAATGATTTCTAATAATTATATGAGGATGATGTTGAAAAAAGGAGACTACAAGGTAAAACTACTTACTACTTACGATTTCTACTTCTACAAGCAGCACCTAGATGGAAAAATTTACACAGGAAAACAAAATTAAGAAACATTGCAATAAAGAAATAAAGCAAATTTAGACTTAAAACAATGCAATTAAATTTAATTAAATAATTGTTGAACAATATTAGTTTCAAGATAGATCAGCAATATTTTTAACAGGTAATAAATACAGTTCAGAAAATATCATGTTATTGTAGTTTTAAGACGTTTTTACTAGGAATTAAATTTTATTTTTTTTTTATTTATTTATTTATCTATTATTGTGATATCTCCCTTAGTACTCATATAAAAACAATTTATGGTGAAAACCTCCACAACCTGTTAAAAATAACGCCTGTATTTTAGTGTTTACTAAAGTACCTATTTGAATCAAAACCAGAAATATATACGAATTCGTTTTTAATTTTTTTATACAGGGTGTCCCAAAAATTGGCGGCCCAAAGGGAATGTTGCGCTTAGTTGGTGACTTAACGGTATTTATTAAAAACTTATTAATATAGGTATGTAAATATTCAAAAAATTGATTCATCCATTCTTTATCCATTCAACATTAAAATTATTGAAATAATTCTGTGTTGCAGTAAGTAGTTAGTGCACGGTTGAAATGGAAATACAACATGGTTGTATAAAAAATAATATAAATAATATAAATTAGTCAAAGTTATCTGCTAATAATTGCTACCATTTTAACTCCGTTATAATTGAAGCTACAAAGTTGGTTAATTTATTAAATTGGTGGCATTTCTTCTTCTTTAAATGGCGAAAACAGAAAAACAATTGAACGAGGTATTTTCGAAATATTCACAAAAATAACATTTTTTAAAATGGAAATATGTAAAAATATACAAAAAAAATACGTTTAAATTTTTTTATTTTTGTGAATATTCAGAAAACCCGACGTTCAATTGTTTTTCATCATTTTAATCAGAAGAAAGCCACAACTTTGCTAATTTAACCGACTTTGTAACTTCACCTCAATTTTAAGACATCCTCATTGGCGGTGTTAAAAATTCAATAACTTCTGCAATTAAGCGAAATAAAAAAAAATTTAAAGGAAACTTCATCTTTGAATTTTAAGAAAAATTCACCTTTGCCCATGATATAAATAACATAATGCCTTTACCATTTAGACCTCCAATTTTGGGAAGCACTTTATAATTTACAATGTTTTGAAAATAATCACAAAATAGCTATTTTTTTATTGCCATTACCTAAACCAAATAATGCTCAGGTAAATTCCTTTTTTTTTAATGTGTCCTTGGACTATCAGATATAAACAGTTTCTTATAATTTAAATATTGAATAAATCAAAACATATGGGTTTTTAAATAAACAATTTACTTTCCTGTTTAAATGTTTCCAAAGACTGTAAACAAACATAAAAAGCTGCATGCATCGCGTTAAAAATAAATAAAATAAAAACAAGCGTCACTTACTGCACGTGAGAGAGCAACTAACATTAAAAATAAAGCCAGCTCTCCGCACTACGTCTGACCGGTGTCGCGTCTGAAGAAGTTCCATATCGAGGAAGTGGTTTTGGTGCGTACCTTTTCGGCGACGGAGGCGGCACCTGGTGCTCCTCCGCTCGTCCACTTGCTGGGCGGCGTCGTCGTCGACGAGGACTTTTTCAACGTGCCCCGTTGTACTAAAGAGTCCCTATCCCTGTTATTAAGCGAGCTGTTTCGCGATTTGCTGTTCAAACTGGCGGCGTCGGTGCTGCGCTGATTTCGCCACGACTGTGCACTGTGCGGCCTACCGGGCGACTCGCCGCTACGACTACGTGCACTTGGTGCTGGACTGTGTTTACCTAGCGCAATACATAGTGCACGGTTAGTCGGAAAGATATTTTAACCCTAATTTTAGTGTGTAAACATCTAAACTGCGATACGAGCTTCCTGAAAAATTGAGCGTCATGTAGATGTGACTGCGTCCGTGCGCGCGTGAGGCGCTACTGCGCATACTATTCGCGTAGTGACGTCACAGAAAATATATGAGTCAAAGTGCAAACGTGTTCTTGGCATAAGAAGTAAGTGGCTGTGCATAAGTAAGAAATCCAAATTAAAAACAGTTTTATTTTATTATTTTGTCAAATAAATTTAATTGTTTTTTATCAAAAACCACGACTTTATATTTTCCGCACTAAACTCGTAACAGCCAAGATGTTTACACATCCTTTGTACAGTTGTATTCAATAAAAAAGCGTACAAGAATTAGAATGAGAGAAAACTGTCAAAATAATATTATTGCTTAAACCCGGCTTATCACTGACATAAGTCATTAAAATAATTACTATGGGTTATAAAGAGCATTGACGTCGTAGGTTAATTAAATAATATTACAAAAATTATTACCTTTTAGAAATGAAAAAAAACAAACATTAAAAAAAATTTAATATTTAGTCATGCATCCCTGTTTTTCTATTACTTGAGCCAATCTATTTGGGATGAACTGAATTAAATTTAATACAATATTTGGATTTATATCTTCCCAGCAGTATAGTAGGTATAGTATAGTTGTATAGTTTCCCATAAATCCTCAGATATCCCAAAAAAGCAGCATCCTGTTCAGGGTGGACATTTTGGGACGACCTGAACCAACTTTTTGGTTTAGTAAATCTTCCTGTTCCCAGCGTTGCTTAATTTTTAATATAGATTTTTTATTTCTATTATACCACAGTACGAATTGACCATTCTTCTTCGATTCTTGATACTATTTGAGCCTTTTTAACTGACGAGACATTTTTATTTTCTACTGTCAGTTATAGTGACTTAAGTCAGTGGAAAGCCGGTTTTACGCAATAATGTTGACAGTTTTTTCTCATTCTAATTCTTGTACGCTTTTTTAATGAATACAACTGTAACACACTCAACTGTGTTTTTTTATTTGTACCTACGTGTTTATTTTGTTTTAATTCATAAAATTTAAAAGACACTTTTAGACCACAGAATTACAAAACTCAAAAATAAATAAAAAACAGCCTTTTAATTCAATTTTGAGTACAGTCCTGGCGTTATGTTGACATTAAAAAATTACCCTGTATAAATATACCTAAAATATATTTATTGAGTGGTTATTCTTCGCTATTGTTATTATACATGTTTGTTAATTTTAACACAAAAACATACATTAGGTTCTTAAAAAAAGCAAGACCAATGAAACTATAAAAGGTAAGCTTTCATTAGCTGGCCATACACAGACGTTATTGCGCGCGGTTTATCGTGTTATCTGCAAAAACATATGGAAAATCATGTACGTGAGTGAGTATCGCCGCGCGAAATGATAGAACGGGAAGGGATTTCAGACGTGCTTTTTTCTGGAGTGTGGCGTGTCCACACGCCACATTCCGCGTCACGGTTTACCTTTGCTTGGCAAAATTTCACGTTCAAAATTTGTACATGATCACATGCAGTTTCAAACGACTCGATAATGACACTTTTTGCCCACTCACATACGATTTTTCCTTTGAAACTGATATACCACGGGCAATCACTTGCTAAATCATTTGAATACTTTATCAAGTGTATGGAACATGACGCTTTTTTTGCCATGCCGTTCTTTCGTGCATACTAACCGCTACATCCCAACACGCCACGATAAACCGCGCGAAATAACGTCTGTGTATGGCCAGCTATTAAAATATGCAAACCTAACCAAAAAAATGCAGTTAACATTTAGCTCTCACTTTTACATTATCCTCAGAATATCTGGTATATTTTCTGTTCTATCTCAGTTTTTAGGTTATTATTTACAATGCAATAAAAATTGTATGAAATATTCTTTCGTTTGGGGAAATTTATGGTAATTTCATCGGTGGCTTAAATAAATTGGTTTTTCTTGACTTGACAAAAATATTTCTCGATCTTAATTAACCTAATATTTTTGCTTTTTGTAGCCATCCAAAGAATGTTTTTGTGTTAAAATAAACGAAAAGAGATAAATTTAAAATAAATATTTATTTTAAAAACAGTTTTATGTTAAAATATGGGCTAAAAATACTACTGTGGTCCGTCAGTGGCGTAGCAAGACTCTACTGGACCCGTAAGTAAGAAATTTAATTGGCCCCTTAACCTATTCCTTAGATAAGCAAATACCTACCAAATATTGAGACTGAAATCAACTCGACTTGACCGACACCGCAATCAAAATAATACCATTTCCCTAGACAAAACAAATAGATATTTTTCTATTATTGGGAACCTTGGAAATCATTTTAGTTTCTTCGAATTAAAAAGAGGCGCTGCAGTCTGATTCAAAAAACATACGCAATGGCAACGCAGCATTTATTTTCTAACCTGCAAGTTGGTGTGACGTCGTTAGCTTTGTTGTGAATTTCAAAGTTTTTGGTTGGGCATTTTCTGTATTTAAAGTGGTGATAATTTTAATATTTGAGTTTAACAAGTATTATAATCTTAACGTTCGGTTTATTAAACAAATCTGTCTTTTTTGTATGTTTGTAAAAAATATATAAAATGTTACATAAATATCCTGTTTTTTAACCCTACAATCGCATATCCATTTTAATTTTTGTAAAATTTTTGGGTGGCCTGTCCATTAATTCAAAATAAAAAACGTAACTAAATAAAACGTGTAATAAAGAACGTTATGGCAACGTTGCGTTTAGTTCTTTTGAATGGCGCTTTATAGCTTCAAAATCATAACGTTAAGCTATCTATTGGTTTTGACTAGGACCAATTCTAGTAATAATATTATCCCAATGCAAGCGTAAGGGAGCTAGGGGACTCCCCTAAGGGGAGCCGAGCCATTGACGCGGTATTGCACGCGACACGTCGAGTTGACACAGTTGAGTAATAAATAATATTGACCAAAGTATAGCACGTTTCCTATTGGTCGAGGTTGCGACTAAAGCCTAATTTCCATGTATCCGTTAGTCAGTTCACCCGGGATCGCTTTTATTGGTCCAATTATAATTCAAAATGTATGACATATTATCGGTCCGTCAAGTTTCAACTTCGTACGTCTGACAGAAAAAGTTAAAATAATTTTAACTCATCCGTCACTAAACATCTGTTTCTAAAGCCTTACGTTATTTTAACATAATTTATTTTCAAATTTTTTAATACTTTTTTAATAAGATTGTAAAACGAAAATATAACGTTCGTCATGTAAATAATGTTCTACTGTTATGTTTTTATTTAATAAGAATAACAGAAAAAAAGAAAAGACAAACAAAAAAATATTAAAACCAGAACTAAAAGGACCTGTTTTTTAAAACTATATTGTTTTTATATGGTATATTTACCTACCTTTAAATTTATTAGACAGCTAACTGTTAAAGTTACAATTGTTGACATAATTGTAACTATGACAATTAAGCATTAGGTAAATTTAGTAAAGTGAAAATACTGATCCTTAATTTTTATTCGTCGCCAAATCAATCCGTTATTTTAAATAAACAAATATTATTATTATTAAACGTCATTAAAAAACGGATGCATGAAAATTAGAACATTTCTTATAGGACGAGTTTATTGAAAAACGGACAAACGGATACATGAAAATTAAGCTTTAACCTTCCGGCGGGCGCACGTCTTTTGTGCACGAGTTCGGGCGCAGTGATCTGACAGATTCAATTTTCAGATAGGCTTAGTAAAGTGCTTTTTTATATTTTTTATCAAATAAATAATTAACACTACTTTTTATAATACTATATACTAACTTATTAAATACTATAGATAAATAAAATGCGCAAATATAACTAATTTTTTGCACTTTATTTAGAAAGCCGTCTAATACCCGATTCTGAAGTACATGGTAAACATCTTCGTTTTGAGGTGGTTGTTCTTCTTCTTGCTGAACTATCATATTATAAATTTAGGTAAAAATGCATACAAAAAGTTATAAATCAATACTTTCGTTCATAAAAAGTTAAAATTTTGTAAATATTACATGTAATACTGCAGTATAACGCAATCGGGCGCACTGTATCTAGCAGATCAAAATGCCTGCCGTCACCTTACAAGGCGATCAAACACAAACTGCAGTAGACATATCGGTAGAAGTCCTAAAAATATGAAGCTACTGAAGGGAGGGTAGTTATGCCTATAAAAACAGTGCGTCCGGGTGCAATATTTTAACTGGTGTATCTCTTAGATCGGTTGCGCCCGCCGGAAGGTTAAGCGAAATTCTTGCCAGGGGCGCATTAAGTCCATCGCGTTATGCGATTCGCGTATAGTTTAATTACATTCTTGTTTAATACGGCCCTGTTCAATGTTTTTGTCAATACAGCGCGGTATTGTGTTCACATTTAGTTCTTGTTAAATAAAAATACACTTTAATGAGTCTAGTCCCCGTTCAAGTTTTTCAACGAACACTCTCGATGCGGTGACCGAAGTGACACACGCCATACGGGCGTATAGTACAGGTTCCATATTATCTAAATTTTAAATATAATTACTTTATGGTAAGCTAAAAGCTAAGGCGGAAGGTGGACCCCGCAGGGCCGCCCCGAGAGGTTTGGGCCCTTAAGCATTGTTTATCCCCGCTATATTATAGCTACGCCACTGTGGTCCGTAGGAAGCAATTTTTAGTTATATTTGGCCAATATTACACTAATCGAATAAATATCTTTTTCCGACTAACCACGAGTGATTTGTTAGTAACAACGCGCTAATATATATGTACAGGGTGGTCCAGGTTATAGTAGCAATAATTCACCATTCGATAGTCCATCGAAAAATAAGTCGACATGCATGGTAATTTTTTTCTCCAAAACCCCTCCTAAGGGAGATACAGCCCTTCAAAGTTGAGTTTTAAAAATCTTTTTTTTGTCATAACTCTCAGGAAATAAAAGCGTTTTTGACCAAATTTGGTACAAGTATTTATGAAATAGGTACTTGTTACCTGACGTAAGTAACTTTTGTCAAAATTGTCCAGTGACGTAGATACAGGGGGGTTGTTTCACTTTTTCGACCCCATTTTTTACGCCACTGGATATTGGTTTGAATTGACCTATTTTTCTAATTCCTTGTTCAATTTTGAGAAAAAAGCCACTCCTGTCAAATTTTTATTTAAGGCTTTGTTTACGAGATAATTGAGTTTAAAAAAAACATACAGTACTGCAAAGTTCAGTTTTAAATATCTTTTTTTTGTCATAACTCTTAACTCTAAGATCGCTAAAGCGTATTTCACAAACTTTGATACAAGTACTTATGAAGTAGATACTCGTTACTTGACCCAAGTAACTTTTGTCAAAATTGTCCATTGGCGTACACAGTTTCACTTTTTCCGCCCAGGATTTCACTGAAAAATAACTCGACATGCATTGTTTTATTTTCTTCAAAACTTCCTCAGAAAAGACATAAAGCCCTTCAAAATTCAATTTTAAGATTTATCTTTTTGTTATAACTCTCATATCGTTTAAGAATATTTGATTAAATTTGGTATTTAAAATAGGTAATCAACACTTGACGTATTTTTATTTAAAATTATCAAGTGGCCTGATGCGCTTTATCCAATAAAATTAGGGCGGCCCCACTCTAGTATGAACTGTCAGTCTTAAACAACTGAAATAGCTGTCAGAGTGTTAATAAAGGTTTTCTATTATTTGTTACAGTCTGTTAAGATATTTTAGAGTTAATACAAGTATCCTGTAATCATAAATATGCCTTTTCGATTCACGAACCAAGAATACGCCGATATTCACTTCATTTATGGATTTTGTGGTGGGAACGCGTTGCAAGGTAGTTCAAGAATATCAAAGGCGTTTTCCCAATAAACGACAGCCACATCGCAAGGTCTTTGAGAATGTACAAAACCTATTGGTGACACAATCACATCAGTGAAATCCTGTATCTACGCCAATGGACAATTTTTACAAAAGTTACTTGGGTCAAGTAACGAGTATCTATTTACTAAGTACATGTATCAAAGTTGGTAAAAAACGCTTTAGCGATCTTAGAGTTAGAGTTATGACAAAAAAAAGATATTTTACTGAACTTTGCAGTACTGTATGTTTTTTTTTAAAACTTAATTATCTCGTAAACAAAGCCTTAAATCAAAATTTGACAAGAGTGGCTTTTTTTCTCAAAATTGAACAAGGAATTAGAAAAGTAGGTCAATTTAAACCAATATCCAGTGGCGTAAAAAATGGGGTGGAAAAAGTGAAACAACCCCCCTGTATCTACGTCACTGGACAATTTTGACAAAAGTTACTTACGTCAGGTAACAAGTACCTATTTCATAAATACTTGTACCAAATTTGGTCAAAAACGCTTTTATTTCCTGAGAGTTATGACAAAAAAAAGATTTTTAAAACTCAACTTTGAAGGGCTGTATCTCCCTTAGGAGGGGTTTTGGAGAAAAAAATTACCATGCATGTCGACTTATTTTTCGATGGACTATCGAATGGTGAATTATTGCTACTATAACCTGGCCCACCCTGTATTTATCCCTACGACTGCACATGAATATGATTTTACTTCTAAATAAACTCAATACCATTAAAAACTTCCTTAGTTAAGGCGCTTACCTCCAGGCGGCTTGGGTGCCGTGTAACTCTTCAATGGTATTTTGCTGGGCCTCTTTGTCTTCCTGGCGTTCTCCGACTGATCGTGGGCGGACTCGGTGCTGCTAGAATGGTCAGCTTGCAAGTTCATGGGCAGCGGACTCATCGCTTTCATGCTAGCCGTCGTTATTTCTGACCTGGACAGAATCTGATGGTTATCGGCTGGTGACGAATCTAGAGCGGGAATAATGTCTGGGGAGGTGCTAGCGTTCAATAGCGGTTTCTGCAGGTGCTCTAGCACCCTGACTCTCGCTCGCGTACCTTCTAGCTCTATGTTTTTGTCTTCAAGCTACAAATATAGGAGTTAATAATACTGTCAAGATTTTCAACCACGGAGCTAAGTACATGTGCGCTTAGACTACTCAGCTATTATAGAATTTGACACAGTTGATATTGGTATTTTTAATATTTAAAATTCCTTAATTTTACTTCGACATTTTCATTTAAATGTGAAAATTATAACTGGATAGCGTTTTTCTGGGGTAAACAAAATTATTTGCAAAATAACTCATTTTTAATGCTGCTCAAAAAATTAATAATGATTGGAAACCCTCTAAATCCTTTTAAGAAAAGTTCCAAACGATGATCATCCTTTTAAGCATTATTAAAAATGAGTTATTTTACAAATAATGTTACCTAAGCCCAAAAAAAGTTTTTGGTGCTTCGTTCCTTTACGAGCGTGATCCAATTAACCATTGTTAAACCATATACATATAACAGAAAATTATAAATGAAAACAAATTAAAAAAACAGTATTTTATAAAATAACTAATTTAGGCTGCATAAATTCACAAAATAATTTTGTTTTGCTTAATTTAGCCAATTTAGGGTCCCTAGAATTTGCCAACTAAACCCCCAAATTGTGACATATGATTCTTATAGCATAAGATATATAAAACAATTTTTGGAAATTTTAAAAATCTTGTATAAATATTTAAAATTTTCAGGAAATTTTTAAAATTTAGAAAAAAATTTCCACCAAAATTCAACCGTTGCCATGGTGATCTATCAAAAATACACGTTTTGATTGGTTAAAAATTACAGGTGTGGAATTTTCTTCAAAATTTGATTTAGCCTTTTTGAAAAATTTTAAAGATGTGTTGTTCATATAATAATAATTTTATAATAGTTATTATTACTTAATTTCATTGCTGAGGACTGGCATAAAATTATTATTATAGGAACAACACAACACAAAAATTGTCATAATTTAAAACATTTTGTTTTTTTTGTTGTACCGTCAGTAATCATGGAATTTATACTAATGTGCGAATTTTAAAAATCACTGCAACACTGCACAGAGTTTAACGGCGGCCACCATAGATTAATAACCTTTTGTTGTTTACAATTCTTGGGCTTCTTGTGCTCTGTTTATACAGATTAGTAATCGTTTTAAACGTTGTGTTTCTTACAGAGGCATTTAACCTTAAACAGCTAAGAAGGTTGTATTCCTTTTTTGTAAAAAATAAACCTTATTCTATCAGGGCTGTCATTTTGAAATTTTGATGACAGCCCTGATAGAATAAGGTTTATTTTTTACAAAAGAGGAGTGAAATGGTTTCCATTTGCACTTTAAGGCCTCTTTTAAGGCTTACAAGTGCCTCTGTAAGAAACACAACGTTTAAAACGATTATTAATCTGTATAAACAGCACAAACACAAAGCACAAGAATTGTTAAAAACAAAAATGGTCGCCGTTAAACTCTGTGCAGTGTTGCAGTGATTTTTAGTACTTTTAGTACGAGTTAGAACAGTTGTTCTGTGGATTGTGACGCATGTATAATATTTTAACAAACACAGTACACAGTAGTATAAATAAAAAATGGTAGAGCAAATTTTGAAAAATTCCAAAATTTTAAAAAATTTCCAAAATTTTTTGAATTTAAAGTTTTCAAAATTTACAAAAAATTTCAAATAACGGACTGCATCAGTTCGTTTTCGTTTCTTTTTTTGTAAGTTTTAGTTTACCTTGCCCGCAAAGAAGTTTTACTTAAAAAAATATTGTTGAACATTTTAGTTTAAATTGACTGCTTAACAATCTAAATCACACTCAATGTTACGGACAAAATCCAAACTTTAAATGAGAAATTTGAGGATACTATGATTAATTTTGGTACAAAATTAAGAATATACATACAGTTTTAGCCAGAAATAGATTTCAGAAATCAATCAGTCAAAAATATGGATATTGCCGAGGATATTGCTTAAAAAAGCACTATGGAGCTATTCTAAACAATTGCTTTTTATTTAACTTTTTTAAAATTTTTAATAACGCTATTACCTGAAACCGTAGTTCATCGTTCTCCTCTCTTGCTTTATCTAATTTTTCTTTTAATCTGGAAGCCGAGTCTAACTGATAGATTAAAGCCTGTAAAAAATAATATTTTAAGTATTTTTTTATATAGGTATATTTATACAAAATAAAAAGTGACGGTACGCAATTAAAAAAAAAGTTGACCTTGCCTATAACTAGTACAAGTATATCTAAAAATAAGACTTCAATCAACACATTCGTTAAAAAAAGTACTTGCAGCCAATATTTAAAATATTAATAAACTGCAGACATACCTAAATATAAACGGTTTCCACTCTTGTAATGTTCAGAGGCTTCTGAAATATTAATTTCATCAAGTCCAAATAAGGACATTCAAGTTTTTTTGATTTAAGATGTATTAATTTAATTAATTGTAAAAAAACTGAGTAGGTACTGTTCATCATAAAATTATATAAAAAGTATTTGACAAAATGACTACTGTTAATGTGAAGATTGATTTTTTCTTAAAAAGTTGGTGAGGAGGGCTCATAAAAAAGTTGCCGTGATATCACTAACAGGTACAAAATTTGGCTTCTATTTTACCAAAAAGTGACCGAAAAAAATGTACCTGTTTATGAGATTAAGGTCAAATTTTTACTGCATGCTCGCAACCTAGAAACTAAGCCACACCAAGATGCATACACCTCATTAATCCCAGTGTTGCCACGTTTCAAGAAAAAAACAGTACGAACTTATTGTCCATACCTTGTATTAAGAATCATGCGGGTATTATTCCATAAAGTGTTATATTTATAAAATAAAACGCGAACTAAATTCAAAAGAAAATTAATTTAAAATCTTGTGCTATTTTCCAACTTGATATGTTTATACCGGTACATTAAATCAATATTTTATACCACTCTGTACCAGTTCAAAATATATAAAAATGGGTTGGGAAATTATTTCGACGTTTTTGATTTGTTTCGGAATGTTTTCATTGTTAATCAATATTCGACGGATTTCCATTGTATGTTTAAATTTTGCTTGAATTTTTTGGACTAAAATAGAATTTCATCGTCAAGCGTCAAGGTTAATCTTAAAAAAGGTTTCTTATTCAAACGACTCACCCAACGTGATGAAATAAATTGAAACTAGTAAGATTTCAATAAATACTTAATTGTAATCACATTTGCAGCCTTTGAAATACTTAATTCCTTCGTATCAACTGCGTTTTTTATAATCCTACAATGAAGCTTTGTAAGTCACGTTTTATAGGTGTAGTGTGAAACGGTGACATAAATTACTGTTTAGTTTTGAAGCACAAAAAGAGAATTTCTTTTAAGTGTGTGTTAGTAGTGCACACAATAAAAGGTGAAGGTAATAGGAAATTATGACACCACAACGACAACCAGTTTTAAGCCGATCTAGGATAACTTTATCGAGCTAATTCTCCAAAAACGAACTCAGTTTTACCCAAAGTATTTGTTGTTTTACTAGAGCTACATTAGTTTTACCCATTTACCCATGTTACCCATTAAAAATAATATAAATAATTTAATTTACGCAGCAACGTACAAAAAAAATGTTAGGTTAAAGATTACCCAAGAATACCCAACTAAAGGATTAGCCAACCCTGTGTCTTAACCACCTTTTAATATGCAACCTATAGGCGCGATGTGTTTGTTAGTAGTCTATGAATCATGTATCATCTTTTATTATTTTTTTATAATGAGGTTTAAATAAGGTAATTAAAAAACTCCTTATTAGTAAATCATATGAGGGTGGATCTAGATCGATCGGGATCTTATAATATTTCATTAGTCATAGATTAGAATCTAATCTGATATTAATAGTTGGGACATGATGTCGAAAATCAGTGTAAAACTACTTCTACTATAGAGATTAGTAACTAAAACCAACTATTCCGCTTGAAAAACCGATTTTTACTATCAATTTATCCTTAAAAATGAATGAAATCGATAAATTTTTTCGGTAGCGATGTTATAATATAAATGGTATTTTGGTATATTGGTACCTATAGTAAGCGTGTTAAGTTATACGAATTTAGTATATTCAAAAATAAAAAATCGGGACAACCAAATTCTTTATCAGTTCAAAACAAACACAATAAATTAAGAAAACCTAAACATACAAAAGCACATAAACTGAATTCTAATGGATTTCGTAAACACATTAGAATATACACTAAAAGTAAAAAAATACCCTCCACCGGCAACTGCCTAATCACATTACCAAACGGGTAAGGGTGACCCAAGTAAAATTCTGCGCCCACGTCAACCGTAGGCACCGGATCAAGCCACCCTAATACTAGACCTTCTAGACCAAAAAGTCGGGAGACCATGCTTCACGTTTCACTACACGTTAGCACAGAATATTCACTTCTCACAAATTAACAAGAACAGTTGGACCTGGGAGCAACTAAGCACCAACAAGAATAAGATAAGGAAAACAACTGAATTAATACCAAGTGCAGGAACAATCCGACGTGGACACTGACACAGACAATAACGACCAAAACGTAGACCACGACTAGCAAATCGGCCCCTGCAACAAAATAACAACTCGCCAACTCCAAACAGTAATCCCAAATGTTTGAAGTAATACTAACTGACTGGTCTGGTTGGATACCGCGTCGTACTTAGATTTGAGGCGGCGTAATTGTCTCCCAAACACCAAGATGTCTATCCCTCCCGTCCTACCTCCTTCATGACCCTACTGGGCGTATAGCATCGGCCCGGCGAACCCGGGAATGGCTATTAAAACTATTGTCATTTTGCTCTCGAGCCCTAAATAGGGGACAGTACGGGACGCAATGGACATTCGCACCCGGTAAACACGGGTGAAGCCGTGCTGTTGCTGGTGGCGAAAGAAAATCGGCGTAAGGAAACAGAGGCCTGGATGCATGAGGCAATGGGGCCGGTCAGTTATAATCTTTTTACATGTTATAAAACCATTAACAGCGTAAACAGTATAAAGTTTATAACATTTTTTTGAAATTTGCACCTCTAATACGTACTATACGTTTTTTTTACATAATTCATTTTTTTTTAATTTATTGATAAAAGATTGAGTACATAAGACTAAAAAACGCCAATAATGTTTATATGGTCAATTAAAAAAATGGTTAAATTTGTTAACAGTTTATTTATTATTGTTACTTTTATGTAGGTACTACATTAAAAACTAGAAACTAATTTGCACCTTTTTTAACTTTTAACAGCACTTGAGGCCTTTATGATTCAACATTTTAAATACCAATGACTTATTTCCTGTTTCTAGAATAAAGTTTTACCTTGAGATAAAATTTCATTTGGTTTTGCTTCTAAATTACCCAAAAAAACCTGTGGAAGGTCGCGTCAAATTGACCATTTAATTCGAAATAAATTTATTTTTAATGTGAGTTGAACTAAAAATATATTTGTTTTTGAATTAAATTAATTAGTATACTCTGCTGCACGATTATGTGCAAATTTAATTATGATTTAATTAATGCAAATTAACACCTTCAAGCTAATACACTGGCAATTACAACTGCTGAACGTTTGTTACAATAGCATAAGTCGCTTGACATAATTTCAATTTATGCATTATCGCAAAAAAGCAATAAGTTACAGTTGAACACAATTAGTTACCGTTGCTTTTCATTAAGTCAACACCGCGTGACATAAACAATTGAACGATTGCAACTACAAAATAACAATATTATGTATAATAATGGAATGAACATAACCGACGACGACTTAATTTAAAACGATACACACAATGCTCATTGTTCGGGTGAAAGTCGCCGTCGTCGTCAATTTAGCAAAGTCGCGGGCGACACAAAAATCGAGTGTCGTAACAAATTTTTTTAGATTCACGATCGATTAAATCGAAATTTGATTTATATACAGAAGCCCAACATTATTCTAATGTCGGCAGCAAATCGGATAACGAACAAATTCGAATCACGATAAAATTAGTCAGGAGTTCAGCAAGTTTTTTTATTTACATACATCCCGAGTTCAGTTCGAAGAGATTAAGTATTAAAATCCAATTTCACGAATCGTAGTGCAAGTGTTAAAAATGCATGATTGTTTTTCATGTACTATTTGCTAAAAGCTTACTGCATGGTATCGCTTTACCCAATAAGCTTTAGTATAGATTAAATTAAAAATGGCAAAAAATAAATCATGGAAATCTTTAAATTAAAAATTAGAAGAGAATCGACTACATAATTTGTTTGCTTGCCGAAAAGCTTCAATATTTGTGTTAAAAGGATGTCGACTCAAATCCTTTCATGTTTTAGACATATTTACCAAATTGATGTGAACGTATTAAAATCGATAAATTCATCAACAATGGCGTAAACGGCAGTGATATTCTTAGCACACCGAGAAATCTATGTAAATAAAAGATACATACAAAATTTGTCAATATACTTTGACAAATGCCTACACTGCAAACGAAAAAATATTGACTGGATTCAAATCACTTAACAGTGAATTGAAGATTTGAAGTATAGACAAGTCTTAAAAAATCTATAAAAAATTGGACGTAATTACTTTTAATTAATATTCATTGTAATTATTTTTTGTCAATCAATTCCAACTAAACTGCGCACCACTCAATGTGTCGCGACCAAAAATTTCGTCCATTTTCAAAACGACATAACTTTTTTATTTCTTGAACGATCTTATTTTGGTTTGTGATGTCTGCTAGCCCCATTCTCTGGCAATTCATGCTATAGATATGAAGCTCATGGTTCTTCAAGTAAATTTACTACAGGGTGATATGTAAAACAGTGAAAAATTTCAATAACTTCATCCAAGCCCCGTTTGTAAAATAAATATTTTTTTAGTCGACCTTAACTATAAAGGGGATTTTTAGTACTCAAAAGCGGCCGAAAAATAACACTTTTTCGTCCGCCTTCATTATTGTCCGCCTTTGGTGGCGCCATCTATCGGTTATTTTAAATACTACATAATGATATTGACATTACCCACAATGTCAAAATAAAATTTTGAATAAAACCAAATAAACAAACTGTAAAGTGTAATAAAAACGTGTCAGTATTCTAATTTTATAATAATTATTGTCAACAAACATGTCCA